AGTTCAGTTGTTTCCCACAGCAAGAGATGAGCCAGGTGCATGATTCAGGAAGGGAGGATGGTTCTCAGCCAGATAATGAGCGAAAGAGCACTAACGAGGGAATTGACCTTGATGAAGCCGGAGGTTTAGATCGAGCCAATCAGTTGGAATTTAAGGTTCAAAGGAGTGTCAGGATCGCTAGCAGGCGAGAGAGGGAGGTTCGGGGCCATAGGAACGCCTTCATGTTGTCCAAAGAGTATTAAACAGGCTGTTTGAATTTGCCTCAGTGTCAGAGAAACTTCCTGCTTCAACCAAGAGACTTTGGATTTATCTTGCAGCTTTCATGTTCATGTTTTAGGACTTTGCTGTGTGCTCATGGGCCTTTGTCTTGCCTGTGTCTTCATGGATCTTGTTTGCCTATGTTACCTTGGATTGATCTTTTGAAATATATACTCTTTTGCATTTTTGAACTTTCTATCTTTTCTTTAATAAACCAAGAAAGACTACTGCTGGTGTGTTCTTTGGTGTCTTAAGCAAGGTGATTTTACTCTGAGGTGCAACACACAAGTCCTTATGCAATTTTTTTTCGTGTCAGGAGTGACTTGAGAAACTGCATATTGCTTCTGGCATGAGAGAATTGGCTGTCTGCATGGACTTTGTCCAGGGGATGACTGGAGTTTAATGTTGTTTACCATCCTTGTGGGAGGCTTCTCTCATGTCCCTGCATGGGAAGCTGGAGCTGACGGAGGGAGCTCAAGCCACTCTCCCTGGATTCGAACTGCTGACCTATTGGTCAACAATCCTGCTGGCACAAAAGTTTAACCCATTGCGCCACCAGGGGCTCCTATACAAAACTGAGGACCTTTGTTACCTTAACACTACATACATTGGAACACCAGTAGTTGTATGAAAGACACACAACAGATAAGACAGTGTTTCTCAACCTGGGGGTCGGGACCCCTGGGGGGCCATGAGGGGGCATCAGAGGGGTCAGAAAAAGTATTTTCTGTTGGTCATGGGAGTTCTGGGTGGGAAGTTTGCCCCAATTCTATCGTTGATTGTATCAAAAGATTGTAGGTGAACTATAAATTCCTATAAATTCCTAGCAACTATAGCTCTCAAATGTCAAGGTCTATTTCCTCCAAACTCCACCAGTGTTCACATTTGAGCATATTAAGTATCCCTGCCAATTTTTGTCCAGATCCATCACTGTTTGCGTCCACAGTGTTCTCTGGATATAGGTGAACTACAACTCCAAAACTCAAAGTCAATGCCCACCAAACCTTTTCAGTATTTTCTGTTGGTCATGGGAGCTCTGTGAGTTTGGCTCAGTCCCATCGTTGATGGAGTTCAGAATGCTCTTTGATTGCAGGTGAACTATAAATCCAAGCAACTACAACTCCCAAATGACAAAACAAATCCCCCCTCCAACCCAACCAGTATTCAAATTTGAGCATATCAGGTATTTGTGCTAAATTTGGTCCAGTGAATGAAAAGAAATCCTGCACATTACGATTTATAACAGTAGCAACAAAAATGATTTTATGGTTGGGGGTCACCACGACATGAGGAACTATATTAAGGGGTCATGGCATTAAGAAGGTTGAGAAACACTGAGATAAGAGGATTTGAAAAAAGAACATTTGTTGCATAGAGCTAGAAATGTAACATACACAACTAAAGAGATGTGGAAGAAATCGCAACATTTTGTTATGTCATAATAAGTTGCATTTTCAAAGAAAGGAAATAGTTAAAAACTTTTTAAAAATCCTTCCTCTAATAATGAAGCAAGGTCAGCTTTCTGATTTCTCAAATATCTTGTTGTATGACTCATTTTTTGGAATGTTAGAAGACAAACAGGATGAGGGAAAATGGTGAAGATTCAAAAAGATAGTATCTAGTGAGACCACAGAAACAGCTATACAAACACATCGCTATATTTACACACATGCAAACTGCGGTTTTATATTTTTAATTGCAACACAAAATTGATCAAACATGCAAGCAATAAGAGAAAACTAGGAAAAGCCATCGTTTGTGGGCTTCATGCCATATTATTCAAGCTGAAATTTAGTGCAAAGGGTATAATTTGTAATGGAACTAAGGGAAGGGTCGGGAAAAGCTACAATCTTTATTGTTGCCTTTATTTACAAAAATATAATCTGGGAATAATATGGACGCTAACTTCAGCAAAAGTACATACCTGTCCAAACATGATTTTTTTTGGGAAGTACATTATAGAGAGGGAAATTCTCTAGGATGCAATGTCTTTGAGAATGCATGGTTTTAAAACACTAGATAAGTATTTCTGACCAAGAAGTAGGGTTTAATTCTCTCAAAACACAATCCTCCACAAATTTGCTTAGAAACTAGGTCCGCTAAGGATAATGGGACTTACTCCCAAATAAGGAAACACAGGATCAAAGCCTATATGAACAAAGCAACCATTATGCTTACAAGGAAGCAGTAGTTGTATCATTTTCCCCAAACATTACTCACAATGTATTGTCGAAGGCTTTCCTGGCCGGAATCACTGGGTTGTTGTAGGTTTTGTTTTTCGGGCTATATGGCCATGTTCTAGAAGCATTCTCTCCTGCATCTATGGCAAGCATCCTTAGAGGTTGTGAGGTGTGACATTTTGCCTGCATCTATGGCAAGCATCCTCAGAGGTTGTGAGGTTGTGACCTCACAACCTCTGAGGATGCTTGCCATAGATGCAGGTGAAACGTCAGGAGAGAATGCTACTAGAACATAGCCATATAGCCCAAAAAACCTACAACAACCCATTATTCACAATGTGTATCCCAACCCATAAGAGAAGCATTGGTGAAAAGTATACACACTGATTGTGGAGGGAAGACCCTATGCTGGTTTTCAGATTCTGTGGTTTTGTCCACAAGTGAAGTGTACCTCTGGAGGTTATCAATAGTCTTTCTGACCAATGTTCCTTTGGAGGATTGTTCTTCTATAGGCACCAATTTTGTAACAGCCCAAACTGGTCTGTTTTTCTTCCCTTGATGTCTGTATTGACTGCAAAAAGCAGCTGATTTATTGTTGCTGCATCAGCTACTTTGAAGGCTTTCTCCCAACAATATAATTTCAGTCTCTGGGTTGTATTTTTCAAAGCCTAACTGGAAAAGCTTTGGACAATGCTGGAACTAAGGAAAATGAACATTCTTTATGACAGATTGATAAGATATATTATATGCCCACAACAAATTATTTTTTAAACAAGAAAGAATATGTCATCAAAAAATAGATGGATGGGGAAAAAAGAAGCTTCAAAAGTAAAACAACTGTGGATTTTTTTTTGCAAAGACAAACTAAAAAGATAAAAAAGTAATCAGAGTCTAAACAGGATAGGCAGATGTAAGAAACAAACATTAGAGTGAAAGGATACCATATTTCTGTACTGAAAGGGGTTCCTAGTTCAAAAGCTAATTTAGAAACCCATAGTAAATACTTTACTCCAGGGGTCCTCGAACTAAGGCCCGAGGGCCGGATACGGCCCTCCAAGGTCATTTACCCGGCCCTCGCTTAGGGTCAACTTAAGTCTGTAATGACTTGAAAGCACACAACAACAATCCTATCTCATCAGCCAAAAGCAGGCCCACACTTCCCATTGAAATACTAATAAGTTTATATTTGTTAAAATTGTTCTTCATTTTAATTATTGTATTGTTTTAAAGTGTTTTTGAACGACAAATAAGATATGTGCTGTGATAATAATAATAATAATAATAATAATAATAATAATACTTTATTTGTACCCCGCTACCATCTCCCCAAGGGACTCGGTGCGGCTTACATGAGGCCAAGCCCACAACACATACAATAAACAAAAGCAATAACAATAATCAATACAAAACAGTTAAAAAGCTCAAAACAGAAAATACACAATAAGCAATAATAACATATCACAACATACAGCATTTAAAAACCTATGACCGGGCCAAATGTAATAATTCAAATTTAAAATCAAAAAGTGCTGGGCATGAACAAGGTAAGACAAATTAAAATAGGATTTTCAGAGAAAGATGAGGGCGCGCAGACAACCCTGAATCAATATTAAAGTGCATTTGAGGACATATTGCTAAGAGTTTTCCTTATTCTGGGAAGGCACACTGGAACAACCACGTTTTCAGGCTCCTCCTAAAGACTGCCGTTCATAGGAATTCATCATCCTTTTTTCAAATGATAATCCGGCCCTCCAACACTTTGAGAGACTGTGCCCTGGCCCTCTGTTTAAAAAGTTTGAGGATCCCTGCTTTACTCCTACAAGGCAGCAGCAGTTATTTGTTTAAGCTGCGTGACACACCTCATGAGACACCTACTTTGAAAGGCATGTTTGAACGCATAGTGAAAGAGGGCCATGGTTCTTTGCCAAGATATAAATATTGGTAGATTGGAGTTGCATCTTAATTTCTTAACAGCTTGAATGCCACTTTATATTTATTTATTTAAAACATTTATATTCTGCCCTTCTCACCCCACAGTGGACTCAGGGCGGAGCACAACATATATATGGCAAACATTCAATGCCAGGACAGAAAACCATAAATATATACAAACATTAAAATCACTTATATTCACATTAAAAGTTGCTTAAAAACCATCTCAGGACACCATTTTGCCTCATTGCACTGCCCCAAAGGCTTGGTCCCACAGCCAGGTCTTCACCATCCTTCTGAAGGACAGGAGGGAGGGGGTTGATCTAATATTGCCAGGAAGGGAGTTCCATAACCGGGGGGCAATCACTGAGAAGGTCCTGTCTCTTGTCCCCACCAAACATGCCTGTGATGGTGGCGGAACTGAGAGCAGGGCCTTCCCAGAAGATCTTAGTTTCCGCAGTGGTTTGTAAAGGGAGATACATTCAGACAGGTAAACTGGGCCGGGGCAGTTTATAGTACTTTATATTGACTCCTTGGCTCATCTAAGTTGGGCCATGTGCTCACCTCTGCTGTTGTCCATTCACATGAAACCAGAAAGACAGTTGTATTCAAGCAGACTAAATAAAGTACCTGGTTGACCGGACCAATCTTGCCAGCAGAGTGCGCTTTTCCTCATTAGAGAACTGCATGACTCCGGGAGTTTCAAATTTCTGTCTGATCCACTGGCACTGCTCCAGATCATTAATAAACATAAATTCCACACCAATATGCTGACAGTATGCCATCTGTTCAACAGGGAAAGACAAGAGGCAGATCTCTAACCAGAAATGTATTTTTTATTTTTTATCATAATTTCTATTAACATCCCACATTTACCCACAAGACAGGGACTTGAGGCAGCTTATACACTAAAAATGTCACAATTAAAAATATACAAAAAGCCACATTACAACTACCGTTATTTAAATTAAATACCATATTTAAAACATACACTCTAAAACAAGGGTCCTCAAACTAAGGCCCGGGGGCCAGATGCAGCCCTCCAATGTCATTTATCCGGCCCTCGCTCAGGGTCAACCTAAGTCTGAAATGACTTGAAAGCACACAACAACAACAATTCTATCTCATCAGCCAAAAGTAGGCCCACACTTCTCACTTCTCAATACTAATAAGTTTATATTTGTTAAAATTGTTCTTCATTTTAATTATTGTATTGTTTTAAAGTGTCTTTTGCCCTACAAATAAGATATGTGCAGTGTGCATAGAAATTCATTCATGTTTTTTTCAAATTATAATCCGGCCTTCCAACAGTTTGAGGGACTGTGACCTGGCCCTCTGTTTAAAAAGTTTGAGCATCCCAGCTCTAAAATAGGACTTCATAAACTGTACCTGTGGTGGGATTAAGGGAAGGACCTTCTCTGCAGATCTCAGGGTCTAGGCCAGGCATAGCTCTCCAGGTGTTTTGGACTTCAACTCCCACAGTTCCTAATCTGTCCAAAACACCCGGAGGGCTAAAGTTTGCCTATGCCTGGTCTAGGCTAACATATTGGGAGATATGGTCTATCAGACAGTCTGCACCTAAGCTTTAAAGGTCTAAACCAGTGCTTTACATTATGCCTGTAAACAAATTGGTGGCAGACGACGGGATACGTTTAACATCTAATTGAGTGCCTTAAGATCGCTTGGGGAAAAATTGTGAGGTAAAAGTTGAAGCCAAAAGATGGCTGCTAAAATGCAAAACAAAGAAAAATTTACCTCAGAAGCAGCCAATATGGCGGATACCAAAGCTGAAGAGATAGCTGTAGTGACAGTTAGAGAGTCACAGCCAAAAGTAGAAAGGGAAGAAGTTATAGAAACAGCTGAGGTAGAACAAAAGGAGGCTGAGAAAGAAAGCATGGCTGAATTCAAGAGTGAATATGAGAAGTTGACTATGGCAATACAAAAGTGGGATCAAGGCCATGTAGATGAAACATACATAATTTTAAAAGATACAGAAGTGCTGAGGAGTGACTCAGACTTAGTTCTGACAATGGCGACATGTTTGAGGCGCAGAGGAGATTTAAACAGTGCCATAGAAGTGGAATGGCATCAGAAGTTTCGGCCAGGGACTCCAGGCCATTTGTCCCTCATCAGGAGAGCCACAGTGCTCGGGGAAGTAGCCAGGAAGGTGGCTCAAGTGGATGAGAAAGACAAAGATGGCGTAGCTGACTCAAGGCTGGATGGCGTGGCCAAAGGAGTGGTACAGAAAGTTACCAAGGGGCACATCATGGTTGCCAGGGAAGCTGGAGCCAGTGATGAGAATATAGAGACAATGGGTCTTGCAGAGCAAGTGGTAAACTCTGAGGAGAAAAAAGAGCTGAAAGAAGAGAGACATTTTGCTGAGAGTAAAACGTTAGATCAACTCTTCCTTACTAACTCTGAGCATTTCGATATGTCTACAACTGAAAGGGAAGTAAGCAGAAAAAGGAGATCTAATTATATATCGGAGGAAGAAAGAGTGGATAAAAGCCAAGCTGATGGACTAGCAAGAGAAATAATATACCCTGGCTATGTTAATGGTGATAAAAAGAAAAAGCTGCAATTTCTAGCTTTGGAAGTTCGTCCAGATAGCAGTGATGAGTTTGCCATGAAGAAGGACAGTATTCTTGTTCGTTCTTCCAAGGACAGTGAATTCTCTTCAATGTCAAGAAAAGATGTTCAAAGAACTACAAGATCTTCACAAGGACCGGCTTTTACGTTGAAGCAAGCCTTTGTTCAAGCCTCCAAATTCTATACAAGCAGAACTGTTACTGATAATTGGAAGACCAGGATAAAAGAAGAAAGAGAAGAATGTGGAACTGTGTGGGGTGTATTGTCCTGTTATAATTTGAGTCTGGGTATCAGGAAAAAGAGGATTGGAACTGGGTAAAAGGGAAAAAAATCTTATTTTTCTACAAAGGTTAGACCACCTTGAATAATAAAAGTGTTAATGTAGAAAGGTAATGTGTATATAATATAGTGTAATATTTTATAGATGGTCAAACTGTTTTATTGCAGACTTGTAAAATGTATGATGTCATTACAGTGATAAACTGTATATGTTTTATACAATAGGTATAAGATATAAATACATTATATTGAAGTGTGTTAGGTGTATAAGTTTTGTAATAGTGAATGAATATTTACAAAGTCACTTTAGGAATATAGAAATGTTTAGATAGATTGGTTATATGAAAATGGTTAGACAATGAAAAAGGAACGTGGTCGCAGATGCCTTGTCCAGAATATCTTAAGGTTAAAGGTTTGTATATGTGATCCGTACTGTATTTAACCATAATATGTTTGTATTTCAGGAATGTTGTATATATATATTGTTATGTAATTTTAAAATTATTTTTGCCCATTCAGGGACTCTGAATGGCCAAAAATAATCCTTTTTTTGGGTGGAAGGTGTGAGGAAGTTAATAATAATTTGCATGATTTAAACTGTATTTATGGGTTTGTGTTGGCTGCAGTAACTCTGGAGCGGCCTATTTCAAAGGAATCCTCCATCTGCGTTGCCATGGAGACCAAGGCAAGCCGGCAGAGAGAGAAGTGGGAAGAGCCTAGAGGGGAGAGTTTTGAAAACAGACAGTTAGTGAGGCAGTTAAGATTTGAGGGTGAGGAGTCGGTAGAGGAAAGATTAGGAGGTGGTAGCTGAAAGAGAATGAATTGTGAAGCAAAGTTTCGAGGCTTTGGAAAGCCAGATTAAGCTACTGGAAGTTTCTTAGGCTAGAGAGGCTGATAAGGGAAACATAGCCAGTATTCTTTTAGTCTAAGGAAAGGCTAAAGAATAAGCTTATTAAGTATCTGATCAAGGGAGGATCAGATAAGGGAGATATCCCTGTATTGAAACTTTGTTTAGTAATAAGTGCTTCACCTCAGGAAAATACTGTGTAACCTGAAAGAGTGAAACGTTCATCTAACCAAGTATTGTTCTAAGTTCTATAACAAAAGTTACAACTTGCAACCACACGCTTTGTTCTCAATCAATTTGTTAACTTTTGTTTGAAGACGGCCTCATCTCCATCAATTCTGCGTCCAGTGTGCCATTTCTCACAATAATACATCTTACCTCACGTTGGTGGCAGAAATACAGAGAAATAAATAATAAATCTCCCTCTACTCTCCTGTTACACAACAGCGCTTGTAATTTAGTTACTCCTCTGCTGACTACTTCTCAAATTTGGTGGCAGTGATAATTACTATAATTACAATGTTGCTAAAGTTCTGGTGGTGAAAATTTCAGAACTCTTAACAAAACTTTCAAAATTTCATTATTTCATTATTGGTGATTTTTACGACAGAACCCATTGGGAACTGCCATTTATAATGAAATTTTGAAAGTTGTGTTAGAGTTCTGAAAGTTTCATCACCAGAACTTTAGCAACACCGTAGAAGCAAAGCACCAGCACCCCCTAGTTTTCACCACCAGAACTTTAGTTTTGTAAGTACTTTAGAACCATTTAGATCCACGAATTGCACATGCCTACTAGCTAGTAACACTGAAGCATAAAGTATTTTTGAAAGGCCCGTGTTTGAAAACAAATGGGCAAAGGCTTGTCTGAAGTGAAACTATTAGCTGGACTTTCTGTTTCTTATATTCAAAATTCTAATACTAAGCAAAAGGAGTGCAATAGGTGCAAGTAGACGAGGAAAGAAATGTCTGGCAAGCAGTCACAGGACTGACCTTTAAACGAACCTTGCTAGAAATTATTTTTAGGCATAGTCATGACACTAAAAACGAATGGCCAGAGGACACAAGATTGTACTGCCTTTATCAGAAAGTGGAAGTGCCTTATGTAAACTGTAATTAGAAATGAGTGGGGAAGAGAAGCGAACTCTCAAATTTAGAATCCAGGGGGCAGTATTTTGAGATGCTAAGACAGACTGTGAAGAGGTCACTGCTGATGAGTCCTGAGTGTCTGAGTTTTCTAAATCAGTGTTTCTTAACCTGAAGGTCGGGACCCCTGGGGAGTTGCGAGGGGTTATCAGAGGGGCTGCCAAAGACCATCAGAAACACAGTTGTTTCTCTTGGTCATGGGAGTTCTGTGTGGGAAATTTGGCCCAATTCTCTAGTTGGTGGAGTTCAGAATGCTCTTTGAGTGTAGGTGAACTATAAATGTCTGCAACTACAACTCCCAAATGTCAAGGTCTATTTTCCCCCAAACTCCACCAGTGTTCACATTTGGCCATATTGAGTATCTGTGCCAAGACTGGTCCAGATCCATCATTGTCTGAGTCCACAGTGCTCTCTGGATGCAGGTGAACTACAATTCCCAAACTCAAGGTCATTGCCCACGAAACCTTTCCAGTGTTCTCTGTTGGTCAGGGGAGTTCTGTGTGCCAAGTTTGGTTCAATTCCATCGTTGGTGGAGTTCAGAATGCTCTTTGATTGTAGGTGAACTATATATCCCAGCAACTACAACTCCCAGATGACAACAACAATCCCCCTCTCCAACCCCACCAGTATTCAAATTTGGGCGCATTGGGTATTTGTGCCAAATTTGGTCCAGTGAATGAAAATACATCCTGTATATCAGATATGTACATGACGATTCATAACAATAGCAAAATTACAGTTATGACATAGCAATGAAAATGATGTTATGGTTTGGGGTCACCGCAACCTGAGGAACTGTATTAAGGGGTCGCAGCATTAGTAAGGTGGAGAAACACTAGTTTAAGGACCTCCAAAGAAGAAAAGTCCACCACACTGTTCTAAATTAACGTAATTATGCCAGGAACAGAAAAATGGTCACCACTCTTGAGCTTCTTCCTTCCATTCTGTTCATGGGTCAGTTACAGCTGTTACTTTTAGTAAGTAATTGCGTTCATGAAGTCTGCTTCACACAGGGAATTTCCTATCAAAAGATATGCACACTTTCTATACAACAAATGAATGAAAGGGGGTTACTTGGAAATATATTTCTCTACTGTTGTGTACTGATGTGAGAAGGAAAGTTCTTCCCATAATTGTATAAAAAGTCTAGATTAAACCTTAAGTCTATATTCACAGACTCATAGAGTTGGATAGACCTTGTGGCCATCCAGTCCGACCCCTTGCCAAGAAGCAGGAAAATCGCATTCAAAGCACTCCTGACAGATTGCCATCCAGCCTCTGTTTAAAAGCCTCCAAAGGAGCCTTCACCACACTCCAGGGCAGAGAGTTCCACTGCTGAATAGCTCTCACAGTTAGGAAGTTCTTCCTAATATTCAGGTGGAATCTCCTTTCCTATAATTTGAAGCCATTGTTCCGTGTCCTAGTCTCCAGAGCAGCAGAAAACAAGCCTGCTCCATCCTCCCTATGACTTCCCCACACATGGCTCTCATCATGTTTCCCCTCAGCCTTCTCTTCTTCAGGCTAAACATGCCCAGCTCTTTTAAATCGCTCCTCATAGGGCTTGTTCTCCAGATCCTTGATCATTTTAGTTGCCCTTTTCTGGACACATCCCAGCCTGTCAACATTTCCCTTAAATTGTGGTGCCCAGAATTGGACACAGTGTGGTCTGACCAAGGCAGAATAAAGGGGTAGCATGACTTCCCTGGATCTAGACACTAGACTCCTATTTATGCAGGCCAAAATTCCATTGGCTTTTTAAGCTGCTGCATGACATGACTGGCTCATGTTTAACTTGTTGTCCATGAAGACTCCAAGATCTTTTTCACATGTTCTGCTGTCGAGCTAGGCATCTGTCCCCATTTTTGTATCTTTGCATTTCATTTTTTCTACCTAAGTGGAGTATCTTGCATTTGTACCCGTTGAACTTCATTTTGTTGGTTTTGGCCAATCATCTCTCTAATCTGTTAAGATCATTTTGAATTCTGCTCCTGTCTTTTGGAGTATTAGCTATCCCTCCCAATCTGGTGTCATCTGCAAACTTGATGACTTAATTCTAATTACTTTGCTGTAGTTCAGAGATTGTTGAATTAGGATTAGGTCACAGAAAGACTAGTCAGTATCTCTCATCTTAACCCACCTCACAGGTAGTTGTGAGATTACAAAAGCAAGAGGAACCACCTACTCAGGTCTCCAGGGCTTCTGTGCAGGTCTCTTACCTCTAAACGGCGGATGATTTCTCGAAGTGGGAGAGCAGACTCATTTCCTCCAATGAAGGTGGTAGTGGGCAAGTGAAAAACCTTGTCAAGATCCGATTCATCCAGGCCATAAAACCCTGCAGCATTTTCGTGGGTAGGAGAATGCAAAGAAGGGGCAGGAGAAGGCGTCCAATGCAAAGAGCCATGGCATAGGAACAAGGTTTTGGTGATAAGGGGAAGGGACAAGAAAGCAGCACAAAATAAGCACCAAGGAGGTTTGTACAAATAAAAAACAAGTAGCAATTAAAATGATACACGAGTAAGCGAGAACAAAAAGTTTCTGTAAGACACATAGGATATAAACACAAATGATATACTTGCCATGATAATTGGGAATTAAATCTAGAGGAAGAATCAATAAGAATTTCAAACCCACATACACACACTTCGGAATGTAAAATCTGTTAAGATCATGTAAGGTACAGCGAGTACACATTATCACCACATTTCACCACATATTGAGAATTAAAAGTAAAGTAAAGCATAAAAAGTGAAAGGACCAGCTTCCCAAACCAAAAGGTCTAAAAGCAGCAGGATAATGGATGGCGCGTAGGGTTCTGCAGAGGACTCTCCTGAATAGCTCACCCTGGGGAACCATGGTTTCACAGTGAACTGGTCTCCTCACAAGTGATAGAAGAACACGCTTCAAAGACTTTGGTCTTGAAAATTTCCCCTCACAACAATTTATTTAAATATCTACTACTCCGCTAACAACACCAGATCCTGGCTGATGGTGGAAACGAAGCCATGTCAGCCCTGGTTAATGCTAAGATGGGAGATTTTCAACAAACACCAGACTATATTTCAGAGGAAGGAAATGTCAAAGCTACTTCTGAATATTCCTTACCTGAGAAAACCCTACGGAATTCATTGGGTTGCCATATGAACAATGTCAAGCTCTATTTATCTCCCAGTCACCAGGACTATCACATACTTTCACAATGCTTTGATAATACTTCAGCATTAGCAACTAGAATAATTAAAAACATTTCAGCTGAGATCAAGCAGTTCTAAGGAGCAGAAAAAAATCTGCACAAAAGCTTAACCGAAGCTTAATGACATTAAGGACAAATTCTTCAATGATTACCTATTTATTAGTCTGGAAACTGCTATTTCCTATCCAACATTTCTATTTGGAACCTGTAATAAAGACAACTAACCAAACTGGATTACAAATAAGGTAAATATTGTTGCATTGTCACAAATTCACTAAAAAACCACTAAAATCACTAAAGACGGCAGAAACAGAAGAACGGCCTGCCTCAGGGAAGCATGCTTGCTCCATCCATGTTCAACATTTACACAAATGACCAGGCACTGCCAGAAGGGACAGAGAGTTTCATTGGCGACCCAATGAATTCCGTAGGGTGTTCTCAGGCAAGAGAGTGCCATTACCGCTCAAGCAGGGAGCTTTGAGATGGTTGAACAGAAGCTCTCCGAAGCTCTAGGTGCTCTTACTGCCTACTACAGGGAAAACCAGCTGATTCCTAATCCATCTAAAACACAGACATGTGATTTTCACCTTAAGAACAGAGAAGCATCCCGAGCTCTGAGGATGACCTGGGAAGGAATCCCACTGGAGCATTGCAGCGCACCCAAATACCTGGGAGTCACTCTGGACCGTGCTCTTACCTACAAGAAGCACTGCCTGAATATCAAGCAAAAAGTGGGTACTAGAAACAGTATCACATGAAAGCTGACTGGCACAACCTGGGGATCACAACCAGACACAGTGAAGACATCTGCCCTTGCACTATGCTACTCTACTGCTGAATATACATGCCCAGTGTGGAACACATCTCACCACGCTAAAACAGTGGATGTGGCTCTTAATGAGACATGCCGCATTATCACGGGGTGTCTGCGCCCTACACCACTGGAGAAATTACACAGTTTAGCCGGTATTGCACCACCTGACATCTGCCGGGAAGTAGCAGCCAATAGTGAAAGGACCAAGGCAGAAACATCTCCAGCCAACCCTGTTTGGGTATCAGCCAGCACATCAATGACTTAAATCAAGAAATAGTTTTCTAAGATCTACAGAGACACTCGCTGGAACACCTTAGCAAGCAAGAGTCCAAAAGTGGCAGGCTTAAAACCAGAACCTCAATCAATGGCTGACACCAAATGAGAGATTCCCTCCTGGGCACACAGAAGACTGGGCGACTTGGAAGGCGCTGAACAGACTCTGCTCTGGCACCACGAGATGCAGAGCCAACCTTTGGAAATGGGGCTACAAAGTGGAATCCATGACATGCGAGTGTGGAGAAGAGCAAACTACAGACCATCTGATGCAATACAACCTGAGCCCTGCCACATGCACAATGGAGGACCTTCTTGCAGCAACACCAGAGGCACTCCAAGTGGCAAGCTACTGGTTAAAGGACATTTAATAGAATCCCAAGTCTGCAAACTTTGTGTTTTGTTTTGTTTGTTTGTTAAAAATGCAACACAACTGTTTGGTCTGCTCCTGACACGATAAATAAATACTAAAAAACCAGCAGGCTGACAAAGTATCTATTCCAGGCAAGATAAAAATGAAATGCAAGTTCAATGACCTAGTAAAATGAAAGCTCACTGGTAGAAAGCTGGCAAGAGTAGGTGACATTTGTTTTTTTGGGGGAGTGGGGGGGTGGGGGGAGTTATTTCTTGGGGTAGGAAACTTGAAAGCACTTCCACTAGTAACTTAGTGCAAAAGGGGATATCATTCTTCTCATTCTTGTTCCTATAACAGACTAATTGCTCAACATTTAAGCTTAACCATATTTCTGCTTCATTATGTGGAATACAATATAATCCTGGAAGCAGCACAATATAAAGAACTTTCCATGAAGCTTAATGATAAAAAAGGAGCATCCCGTAATATTTAGTCATGCTCACTGCATGGTGGTTTTCCATGAGTAATAACCAGGCATTATTCCATAGAACAGTATACAGGCCTGGAGTCCCATCCTTCTGAGGAACATCTGCTTCACCAGCCCTTGTTAAAGAGCACAAATTGGAAATATGTAAGGGCTTAGCATGCAGCTAACTCCTCAATCTGAAAATCTTCATTTTATAAGCAGTATTATGCATACTTACAATAGGATATATCCTAATCTTGTAGCTAACACTTAACTTCCTCCCGCAAAGAAGATGCTCGGGAGAAAGAAAACATGACTGGCAAGGATTTTAATGTAAGATATAAATGCTCCCAAAAATACAAAACAAGAGCTGACATCTCTACATAGGCTGCTGTTATAGAAGGCCTATACTTCCACTCTTGACACCATTTAACTTCATGATTCTGCAGTGACTGGACAGACAACTTCAGGATTACTCTTTATTGTCTAAAGGCACCTCTAGACTCACAGCATTTAGAAATCTACCATTTAAACATGCTAGAATCCAGTTAATAATACTTCTATTAATTGAACAGAGTAGGCAGATCAAAAGACAACCTGGCAAAATGGCATGACTTAAAAGAATCCTCTACCTTGTGTGACTGTGGAGCAGAACAAACAACCCAGAATCTGCATGCTTGTCCACAATGTCCTACCTCATGTACAGAGGAAGAATTGTTTAAAGCTACAGACAATGCAGTCGCTATTGCCCGTATTTGGTCAAAAAATATTTAGCCGCTTGTGCTCCTTTTATTTTTATCGGTTTTATACTTATTTATGCAATGCTTTCAATGTGAAATAATAATAATAATAATAATAATAATAATAATAATTCATCGGACTGAAATCTGATCAGTTTACACAGATCAAAGACCCATTGGATACCGTTTAAAAGACTATAAGTTCAAATGAAACTCAGGAAAGTGGAAGAATATTGGTTTTCATACATGCACTCGGGGGGAATTTCTATAATCAACTTTACTTCCTATATGTTAATGACAAGCATCAGAAACACCAACCTGTCAGGAAGATGACCAGATAAGTTAGTTCCATTCCAAGCACCTCATTTCAGGGGGATTCCTGTTTTTTTCCCCATTAATATTACTCACTTCAATTATTTGAGAGTGCTTACAATTACAAATTTGGACATTTTTGCAAGCTTACAGTGAAGGAAACCAAAGAAATGGCATTCTCTTAGCACTGCAGAAAAATAACCAAGGCTTTAAGAAGATACTTGATGTCCTAATACGATTCATCTGTGTGGAACACTTTGCACAACGAAAATAAAATTAACATTCACAAGTCAACCTAAGCACCACTGCAGCAAGCCCACTTGGATACGTGCTGATGAACATCCAATAACAAGTGCACTTTACTAGGATGCCAAAGCATAGCAATGCTTTCCGAAATACTCAATACAAGACAAAGGAAAGGTGAACAAACAATAGGAAAAATGACCACCAGTAGAACTAAATGGAAGAGTTGGTAACAGAAGAGCACGGCAAATGGAGCAGTCTGATTACAAACACTGGGTTTACATTTAATGATTTGCGAAAGGAAAAAAAATGGAGTACCATTGAAAGATGAGACAAGCCATAACTTTACCTAACTGCACATGCCCAGAGTCAACTATTTTCAGAGAGTCCTAATCTCCAGAAGGGTTAAATGCTCATTATTTGCATACCTCCTACTGTTAGCACTTTCAGCCGCTCCTTGAATACTGCAAGATCTGGGGAAGAAGGGAGAGGTGGGATGCAGAAACGAAAAGACAGAGAGACCCAGTCAAAGTTAGTTGTTTTTTTAAAAAAAAACCCTGAAGAATTGTGAAAATAGTCATGTAAAGAGAAAGGCAGTTTTTACACAGTGTCTACACATACACAATCAAAACCACCAAGAAAGAAAAGGGGTTGGAATAAAAGATGACAGCACTACAACTGGGGAAAGACATCCTTGGATGAATCTTCCAGAGACGACCACAAAGGATGTACAAGGAAAAAGAGGCATATAAGTTTAAACTGTATAGTTAGTAGCTACTCTTTGATTTGTGATCTCCTCACTACCGTCCTAGAAATACACAGATAAAAGTTATCAAATCAGGGGTTTCTAGAGCAGACTTCCAGTCAAACATTATAACCGTACAAGCAAAAAATTTAGGACAGAATCTCATTATTTGGTTTACATGAACCAGCTAATCCTTTATACTTTTTAAACACTTTATTCATACTTATAATGCCTACAACAGGAATGGGCAAACTTAAGCTTAATCGGCTGAGGTGGGAAAGAAAGGGGTCTGAGGCTGTTTAGGAATTCTGGAAGTTGAAGTCCAAAACACTCGCAAGGCCCAAGTTTGCCCATGGCTGGCCTACAAGATGATGACAGTAGTGTACTCAAATTCATATTCTTATTCCACTCTGGTTCTTCCACTTTTATCTTCAGAGTTATTTTAGAAGGATAGGGATTACCGTATATACTTGAGTATAAGCCGACCCGAATATAAGCCGAGACACCTAATTTGACCTCAAAAAACTAAACGTATTGACTCGAGTATAAGCCGAGGGTGGGAAATGCAGCCGCAAATGGTAAATTTCAAAATAAAAATAGATATCAATAAAATTACATTAATTGAGACATCAGTAGGTGAAATGTTTTTCATATTTATATAAAGCTGTAATTTAAAATAAGACTTTCCAATTCTGATTAAACCATAATTCTAACCTTCTTCCATGTAAATGTGCTTACGTATCCTTCCAATAATAATAATAGAGTAAAATAATAAATGTAATAATAAAAATAACAATAGTCAAATAATAAATATCATAACAATACTAAGTAGAGTAAAATAATAAATGTAATAACAGAGTAAAATAATAACTATAATAACAATAACAATAGAGCATAATAATAATAATAGAGTAAAATAATAAATGTAAATAAATGTAATGTATATACTCGAGTATATATAGTACTTCCAATAGCTTTGCCCCAATTGTCTTCTTCGTTATAACATACTTTTCAAGACCAGCTATTAAAAAACAATAGTTTACTAGCCAAGTGGCAACTAATTCTCTTATTTTCTAGTAGTAGAAATTTTTATTGATTAGCCCTTAGGCCATATCACAATAAGAAACAGAACAACAAGGCCTGACAAGACCCGATCACACGCCACGTAGTAAGTTAAAATAATACACTTATTACAATACAGTAAATAAATATGATAAGACATGATAAAACTGATAAACTGATCAAGCCGAGTATATACATCATATTTCCTTATCAACTCTACAATTTACTCCAATCAGCCCATCATATGTGGTTCTCAGACGTTTTGTTTTGCTTAAGTACAGAGCTCTTTTATATGTTATTTTTGGGTCTTGGCCACACAAAAAATATGTTGTTCTGATGTGAGATTCCCAATACATTGTCCATTTGATATATGGACCAAGGTGGAAGTCTCTCACCTTTTGATACAATTCACAATCAAATAATATGTGTGCTGTATCCTCAATTTCAGGTGCCCCGCAGATACAACTCCGTTCATTATAAGGGATGCTGTTAAATCTCCCGTATCTGACTCAAATCTAGCTCGAGTGAATACCTCCCCAAGATGTTTTGGTATTTGCATTTTTAGGTAGTTAGCAGTTTGAAAGGTACGTTTATATTGACTCAGCCATTTTAGGTTAGCAGTCTTACTGAGGGTGGCTATATCTTTTTGTGCTTCTATATCCAAAATTCTTTGTATAGCACCCTTTCTTACTTGGTCATTTAAGGCGCAGGAGAGAGGAAGACCACAACTTCTTATATAATTTGTCAGTTATGTAATCCAAGAGGTCAGTACTTGGGATTTTATCTGTTCTAGTAGGCACAATTTTGGGAGTCTATCAGGCTCCGTTACATTGATTTTACACCAATAATTGTACGCTCTAAGTTTAGACTGTGCATGGATTGTGTAAATTTCCAGTTCTGCTCTCACTGCAGCAGCTGAGGTCCTAATTCTCTTATTAGTGTAATCACCACCAATGTTTCATCCATCTCAAATGAACTCAATGCCCAAAATCCTTTTTGCCCTATGCAAAATCCCTGCTATGAGGATACCATTAGAATGTGTCATGCCAGGAAGTTAAGTCAATACTGTCTCTTACTAATATCTGAGTACAAAGGTCTTCCAGGTACACCTTGAAAAGTGTTATCTCTATGATTGTAAAATAATAGCATCTACAGTCCTACAGTATAAACATACATTGCAATGGAAATTTAACTCCCGATTAGTCATCATTCTGTGTCCTTTAAACCAGCTGACTGGGGACATTGTAGGCAGAATGACAAACCCCTGAATTTTGGAGACAGAGGGCTGGGCATTAGAAAAATGCTTAGATCCAGGGGTTTCTTCTAGAGAAAGACCATTGTCAAGACAGAGAATGCTTTTGGACTTATTTAAAGAAATCAAGTCAGAGCAACATGCTTTAGAGATCTGTTGGTTATAGACTCCTGGGTGAAGTACAAAGCAAAAGCCAAAAAATTGGTCTAAGTTGCCGTCAACCGCAACTTGCAATACACTCCGTCTTTTAGCCATTAATGCAGACAACTCACAATCATCTGTGTGAGTTGTCTTTTCAGACTGTCTACAATTAAAGCAAACAAGATGAATTAAGCTCTGGGCCAGGTTTTAGCACTGCAGGTTAATCACCAAGCTGCAATAAATCTTGCCAACTGGAAGGTTTACAGTTCAAAGCCTGGGTCAGGATGAGCTCCTGAACTTTAGCCCAGTTTCTGACTACCTAGCAATTTGAAAACAAATGTGAGTAGATAAATAGGAACCACATTAAAGAGGGGAGATATTTAGGCTCGGCATTTCAATCAGAAAAAGGAGGAAGTTTACAAATAAAGAAGCTCTTCGGCAGGGAGATGGAGCACAGCCTCCAAAGATGCCGAAAAATGGAGGGAAAGCCTATATGTACCTCTACTGTTGTCTGTCTTGTCATTGTATAATCGGCATTGAATGTTTGCTGTATATGTGTTCTGTGATTCGCCCTGAGTCCCTTTCAGGGTGAGAAGGGCAGAATATAAATACTGTAAATAAATAAATAAAATAAATCTAAAGGCAGTAACAGAGAGAACACATTTTATGCTGCAGTTGACTGGTGGCATTTGAGAGGGAACATGATAGCACACTTGTTTTCTGCTGCTCTACTACAAGCATTACTTTAAAAAAATCATAACCCAATTACATCTAAGTTGATTATGTAAGCATTTCAACAATCCTGCACATATATGAGATATTGGTCTAAATTCTGCTAGACTCACTGGAACAACAGGCCTTGTCTATGTGTCAACTCATCCTTCAACAATTGATTGTCCCTACTTTGGTTAGGACTAAACAACAGATGCCAGCTAATATCATATCAAGAAAATGAGTACCAACTGTATATGTTGTAAGAGCTCTTAAAATAACTCAGGACTGATAACTCATCTCTGTTTAGGAACAAAACTTTTTTGTACTAAAGATGAAAGGTAATTTCCTTTTGTCCAACTACCTTGAAATTAGTAACACTTTTTTCTGAACTAAATGTTTGTTCTGGTACATTTTCAGCAAAATACCATCCTTAGTTGAAACAGCAAATGACATCTGTGACTTTCACAGAACACAAGTACATTGTTCTTTCCTGCTCAGCTATTGAAGGAAGAAGTGCTGTAGCAGAGCATACACTTTACATGAAGAATGCCACAGGTTCAATCCATATTCAGCTTTAAAAATTAGATTATGGAAAAGTGTCAGCCCTGTCAAGGCACAGTAAACAAGAATGGATTATATGAACAAAATATCTGATATGGCATATGCAACTTCTTATCTTCTCCATGCATGTAATTCAATATAAGAGATCTTTAGGATGTCAGCTGAATTTTTAAGTATCTTTCTAGCTCTTAATGTTGCAAAGACTAGACTGGGAGTCTATACCCAACACCTGGTGAAGTTCTGATGGAAACAGAAACAAGGATGGGACCCTCAACTATGGCTTGTAGGTCTAACTGTTCCCTTTCTTATCACTAGCAGTGCATGGTGATCCACACTTTTATCTCTTTTGAATCTGATGTAATTTCAATCTGAACAATTTGAATCTGAACGAGATACAATTATACTAATTGTACCTCGTCACAAAACTGCAGTTACCTTGGCACACAACATCCTGCTTATTTATTTTGGTAGTTCAGAAAAGACACAACCATAGTATTTCACAATGAACAGAAAGATACTACTTAATGATGGATATACAACTGTTTCATACTGGTGTTCCATGGCAATTGGAATCACTGTACTGTTGTTGATATCTCATTTTGAAAGATAATTTGTAGCATCTATCACTAAAAGTAACAATGTGTCATGGTATATATTTATCAGAACACATTTAATACTGTCTCAAAACTCCAGTAAATACAACGTATGAAAAATTCCAAAGATCAAAAATGGTAAATTGTAGAAACACCAAGTACCTTTAGTTACCTTAAAACAGCCTCAGTTTGAAAATACTAAGACCCTTCTGGTCAAACTAAGTTAACATGAGAATTTAGCATACATACATTCTCTTTGGAAACTAGTGAACATGGGAATAGTAAAACCTTAGAATTTACACATATAAGCATAGACAGAAAAGCGGAGGTAGCAAAATGTTGATCTAACTGAATGCCTTTGTATTTGTGCGTATTACTAATTTATTTATTTATTTACGACATTTACATGCCGCCATTTTCACCCCGAAGGGGACTGAGAGCTGCTTACAAGATATATATATACTTACAATATATTACACTACCAGCATAGTACAATATCTGTATTAATTATGACTATTGTATTATAACATATTATAACATGTAATATAAATATATAATTACTATATAAATATAATATACTATTAATGAAGACATATCTATTTTTAAGCAGAGAAAAAAGGGCTTCATAGTCTGATATCCTACCCTGCAGAAGCTACATGCACACATATATTGCTACAAAATGTCACTTCTGTTTACACTTACTGTCACTACAACCCCACATGAACTGTATGATACAGCACTTGGCTATCCAGTATGTAACAGGTTTTCTGAAGATGGTTCAATAATTTTGTTAGAACTGGGAAAGCTACTGTAAGTCATATTGAGATTCCTACAAGAACCATGATAAAAACCTTGATCCTACAGTTGACACCCATGTACCCACAGGAGCCTGATGTACAGAAGGCAATAACTTACGAATGCCAACTGATTACCATGTAACCAATCAAATGATGTGTGCATATTCTCGAACACATCAACAGAGAAGCACTGTTGAGACATATAGAAAATATTAATCATATTTTTGTTTTTTCACCAATACACCAAGTATGAGAGTGCCATTTATGAATGTCCCAAAAGTAGATCATTTGTTTACATCACATGCATGAATATTCTAATCACATGTCAATCTTGAAAGGGGTTAGTGGTCATTATTATTATTGTATGCTAAGTTAGAAGCATGCTACTTAGAAGCGCTTGCGGAGCCAGGTTGATTAACCTGTGGAAAGCACAGCAATCAATAGAGCTCAGCCACCGTAACCTGCACTATGCTTAGTAAAAGGGAGAAAACACTACTGGGATCAAAATTAGGGATTGGACTGGAAAACCAAATTTCAAAATCTGATCAGTACACACACCCTCACCTGAGTGACACACATGCACCTCTCATAATTTCAGTCTCTTGATTAGAATTGGGAATGCATTCCAAAGCTTCCTTGTCATGATCACTGACAGAGCCATTGGTTGAAGTTGAAACCACATATTCAGCTTTTCTTCGCTATGCAGCTTGCCCTAACATTGTAATGATAACAACTAAACCTAATGATGACAACTAAGCCTTGAGGAGAGGTGGGTAAGAAATAAAATTATTATTATTATTATTATTATTATTATTATTATTATTATTATTACTACTACTACTACTACTACTAAACTGAATGCACAAATGCCACTGTGACACTTGTCTGAAGACTTTTGCTGGTGACGGAAGTCACCATTGCTCCAAGCAAGAACCCTACTTATCATTAGAATACTGCATGGTTGAGAGATGGTAAAGGCAACTTCGAAAGCCCAAGCTTTACTTGCCCCCAAATATTATTCATTTCCTCAGAGAGGCAGGTTGTTTGCGCTGCTAACCTAGTCAGAGCCATTTCTAACTGAACTAAAAGTACCAAGAAATTAAGAGAGCAAGCTGTCCTGTCTGGTGCATGTAACAACTAGTGACTACAGTGGTAGGTGCCAATGGACAGACACTATTGACTGCCATTTAGTTTTTAAAGAGTGATCATCATGAAGGAAACTTAAGACCTTTCCCTCCAGACTTAGTGAAGCAATCTATTTAGAAGCTGTGAAAGTGAGAGAGGAGCTCAAGCAATGCGGGCACTAACTGCTTCCGGAGCCCTCACCCAGTTTGTCTGTGGAAGTGATAATATCAGCTGGAACGGAAGAGTCCAGATCAGCATCCAAGATGCCCAGTGGGTCGAGCTGTGCTACATGATGCCCTCGAATCTATGAAATGGGCCAGGGATGAAAAAGAAAGTGGACACCGAAAGAGAGATGGGGAAGGGGGAACAGAAAGGAAAGGGGTATAAAAGTTAAAAATTACATTAGGATTAATTTGCAGAATAATTCTCACCGACGTTTGGAGAATCAGTTACTGCTGAATCATCAAAATTTACACAACTAATGCCGAGAGGATCAAGCTTGGCAATGTGGTGACCCCTGACCTGGAAACAACAACAAAATTAGTAAACGTTGGTAAAACGCGGTTTCACTTGGAGCAGTACTGTTCAATAGTATTTCAATAGTATTTCTGAACACGGTTTCACTCTGCAACTAACTTATGGTAATTTCTTTAAGAATTTAATAAAAGCGATAATGTTATTACAAATCTTGGTAAAGCAAGGCTTAGGTGTACTACAAAGATATTTTAGTAACCAACACATATACTCATTTTAAAAGAAAATTGACATTTCTAATTTTCAAAAGTTTCTTAGAAACGTACTATAAAAAGAATACGTTAGGTAATTGGTTGTTACTATTTCAATGCTTTCACTGTAACGTTGATCATGGTTTTTGTGGACTACCTTTACAGCCAATATAAATATTATAGGTAGGCATATGGGATTCCGATGATCATGCCTATTGGATAACATCTTTGTGAATTAACACTATTTTTATCTAAATTTGAGCCTTTTGAAACAAACACCAAGACATCATTTTCCTCTTTAAAATCCTCCATAATGGCTGAACTTCAAAATAATCGGTTTTCTAATGTATTATGCAGTGTTTCTCAAATTCTGCTCTTCCAGGTGTCTTGGACTTCAACTCCCTGAAATTCCAGCCAGCTTACCAGCTGTTAGGAATTTTGGGAGTTGAAGTCCAAAATATATGGATGAGCAGAGTTTGAGCAACACTGGTATAAAGTATTCATCAAATAATTAAATTATAATACTTGTAAAACAAAATGACTTTGACTTACCAGCTCCTTTATGTGAAGAACTTGAATAGTAATAGGAAATATGAATGTCAAAATAAAGACATTGCAATGAGGAAGAATGTGTCCCAAAGGCTATACTTTGAAGCATATAGTAATTTCAAAGCATTTGATGCATTTTTAAATGAGTATAATTTCATCTACTCCAGACATTTTATAAAGAACATATAACTATGTAAAATCACATAAGAATAAGCCTGTTTCCATAAGGGGAGGGGAGACCATAAATGTTAAAAGAAGTTCTGTCAAGCATCGAATATAACAGATATCACATAGTATATGAAGAACCTATACAACTTGGTTATACACCTGGGCAAAAGGGTTTTCAACTTGCCAGACTGATGCTGGTTGGCAGTGTGGAAAGTTCTGCTTCTAAAATAAAATGTTAGAAGACTACATATATCCTTGGCTAGTAATGCCAACTTGCATTCTGAAAGCTCAGTGTGAAGATGCTAATATGATTAATCAGATTTTAAAATATGTCTTAGTCTATGTTTTCTAGATTGCTTAGGAAAATAAATTAGTACTCTTCCTCTTTCCCCAAATCCCATACGTGATTATAGATAGAGGCCAGTGCCCTTTGCCAGATACAACCATAACACTTTGCTGCTGCAAATGAACTCTCAATATTTTTCTGCAAAGCAGGCAGCATCTCATAGCAGGAACTGGTTACACAGCAATGGCATGAGCCAAAGTATAAACTTAGGCTTTGTAAAACACAGGCTAATTGATGGATTTTGTTTTCTGAAAACAAAACAAAAAACCCTGAAAACAGCAAACTAATTTTATTCTGATGCCTGGGTCTGTTTCTGAAACAACAGGCCAACTATAAGCTTACAATATGAGATCAACAGGATCCAGATACATTTGGATTCATTTCAGCATGGTTAATTCTATAATTAGGAACTCCCAGTGGCACAATGGGTTAAATCCTTGTGCTGGCAGGACTGGTCAACCGATAGGTTGGCAGTTTGAATCCGGGGAGTGGGATGAGCTCCTGTCTGTCGAGCTCTAGCTTCTCATGCGGGGACATGAGAGAAGCCTCCCACAGGATGGTAAAACTTCAATCATCTGGGCATCCCCTGGGCAACGTCCTTGCGGACAGCCAATTCTCTCACATCAGAAGCGACTTGCAATTTCTAAAATCGCTTTTGATATGAAAAAAAATCCATAATTTTTCCTGTTTTATTATTATTCAAGAACAAGTGATTAGATTACCACTCAATGGCACTTAATTTGTCCACTTACTGGCAAATAGCCTATCAATGGATTTCAACATGCTATCTGGTTCAATATATTGAGAATAATAATATTAATATTATTATTAATAATAATAATAAAAATTTGTACCCCATCCTATCTCCCTGAGGGGACATATACATTTCTCACATATACATATTCATAAAATGGCACATATACATTTGTAGGCAAGGAATATAAGGCACTTACTGGTCAAAGAATAAATATTTTAGCCTCCTTAATGACACAGGTTTATCATGAGTTAGGAATTAAAGTCAGAATCTCCACAGAAAAAGAAAGGTGTAAAATAATCTTACCTGATATGCTCTAATAAGAGATTGGACTGCAAGATGATCTTCTACTAGTTTATCTACATTCGGCTGTGCTTGAACCAGAGATTGCGCATGTGTTAGTGCGGATAGACTGGTACTCAATGGAGGGGGGCTTTGGTAAGCAGTTCCTGGAACAGCTCCAGCATTGGCATTGCGGAAGAATATGTCCCATGACTAAAAATAAAAATAAAATTTAATTTTAATCACTTTTTTGGCCTTTATTTTGCCTTTTTATTTAAGGGACACCATTTTACCACATTACGATATACAATGGGATTTGAGACACCATGGATTTTGTTATTCACGGGCGTTCTGCAATCAAACTCCAGCACACACCAAAGTATACATTTCTTGGAATTGCATAAATGTTGTTTAACATTTTCTTACTTCTGTATTTACTTCTACAGACAATATTTCCTAATGATATTCAAAATGTAACCTCTAGCACATAAGTTGTATAGTTTTCCTCCTCTCTCAACCTGCACATCTTACCAAATGGTTAAAGCAGTGGTGCCTGTGGATGTGGCATTTTAGGCTCCCAGCTTGAAACATGCTAGTGTGGAGAAGTGCAAACCACAGACCACTTACTGCAATGCAGCCTGAGCCCTGCCCTGCCTTCTTACAGCCACACCAGAGGTGGCCAGCTTCTGGTCAAAGGAAATTTAGTACAATGCCAAGCTTTTCACTTTGTTTTTGGTTTTTGTATGCATCGTAACTGTATTCTCAATTCGCTTCTGACACGATAAATAAAATAGCTTGAAACATTATTTTAAAACTACAACTCCCAGAAACCCACAGCCAGTGTCATTTCTAAGTTTTGGTTTTCGTTATTAGCCTCACCATGGTTTTCTTGATTTCTACCCTCCACCCAGCGATCTTACTTTAGTTAATTTAGTAGTTTTAATTTTTTCATCTTACAGAAAGACAAAAAGGTTACAAATAAAGCAACACTTAGATTATAAAAGAATATGGGAGGAAAAGGTCAAACACATTCTTAGGGCCCTTCCACACAGCCTATATCCCAGAATATCAATTATTTATTTATTCATCCATTTATTTACCATATTTATATAGCACTCCTCTCAACCTGAAGACGAGGCAGTTTACAGCCAGCAGTCAATGTCCCCAAACAACATAAAATAGAGCTAAAAACATTACATATAATATAAACTATATAAAAGCAATAAAACAATAAAAGCCATAAAACACAAAACGTCTCATCACTAATATCATTTTCCCGTCACATCGTCCAAGTGTGGACTCAGATAACCCATATCTGCCTTGATATTCTGGGACATAGGGCTGTGTGGAACGGCCCTCAGGCTGGATCTCCATTGCCCTATAGCCCATGATATGATCTCAGATTATCTGCTTATCCCACTTTATCTGGCAGTGTAGACTCATATAATCCAGTTCAATGCAGATAATCTGGGATCAGATCCTGGGATATAGGGCAGTGTAGAAGGGGCCTCTGACTAGTGGCTGCAGAAAAGTGTAACCAAAATGATTAGTGGGTTAACATACAACAAACTAAGGAACTTGGCTTAGGGCAAAATGCCTTATTTAAAGTCATGACAGAGTATACAATTAGGCTTAGTGTGAAGAACATAGATAAGAGGAAGCTTTTCTCTTTATCTCACAATAGTAGATCTCCACTGATCCCCTCATCCCACTTCTCCTTGTGCCCTTTTCACACAGCCATGTAACCCAGAATCTCAAGGCAGAAAATCCCCCGTTTTGAAATGGGTTGTCTGAGTCCACACTGCCATATATTCCAGTTCAAATCAGATAATGTGGGATTTTATTCAGCTGTGTGGAAAGGACCTCAATCTTCTCAATCCCCTTCCCTTCCAAAAGAGCCTGCCAGATTTTAAACCAATCTCCAAACTGTTGATCTTCTCAGGCAACTTCTCCTCCTAGAATCATAGAGCTGGAAGAGACCTCATGGGCCATCCAGCCCAACTCCCTGCCAAGAAGCAGGAATATTGCATTCAAAGCACCCCTGACAGATGGCCATCCAGCCTCTGCTTAAAAGCTTCCAAAGAAGGAGCCTCCACTACACTCCGGGGCAAAGAGTTCCACTGCTGAATGGCTCTCACAGTCAGGAAGTTCTTCCTAATGTTCAGATGGAATCTCCTTTCTTGTAGTTTGAAGCAATTGTTCAGTGTCCTAGTCTCCAGGGAAGCAGAAAACAAGCTTGCTCCCTCCTCCCTATGACTTCCTCCCAAACTACTCCATTCAATCTTCTGTCCTTACAAAAAGACCAGAAGGATTTTAAACTTGTTTCCAAGACCATAAATCTCCTTGCCCCACTCCTATTCCTCCCACTCTTCTCCCCCTTCTCAAGCTCAAAACAATTAGGAGGAAGAGGAAAGGGGTGATGAGATTGATGGTTTGGAAAGCAAAACAGGGAGAATTTCAGTGGAAAAAAATGAGTGAGCAAAGTGATAGAATAAGGAAAGGGTTTGTAGGAGTGTGCTGGTTTAATTTCTTGCCTTTGTAACCAAAATATTTTAAATTTCATTCAACACTAAAAACAATTTAATTCTGTCTAACTTTCTGTACTTTTTACTGGTGCGTGCTTTTATATAGAAAGTGGGTTCATGAAATTGTGGGCAGCAGGAAAGCAGAAACAAGACTATTAACTGCATCAGAAGGGGCAGAAATGCTGAGGACAAAGAAGGAGTAGAGATATTTCACTATTATGCAACGAAGTCATAAATAATTTTAAGAGGATGCAATTTAAGGAGGATACAGCTGACAACAGGTTACATTTTAGAGAGCCAAAGAGGAACAAAGACAAAAATTAAGGCATCATTAGTACAGATGTTTTGAGGTAAAACAAGGAATTTCAAGGAAGAGCTGTCAGTGGGTGAAATTACAAAATGCTGGGAAAGAAGATTGAGAAGATCAAGAGAAAATCAAGAGGAAATGGAAGGGTGAGACAGAAGAAACCTAATACCAAGATACTTGGGAATGTTTTGCAAATTGATTATATCACTGAAGTAGTAAAACTAGGCTAGCTGCAGAAACTGCGACGAAAAAATATTAGCATTTCATGTTACGTAAGAGACATCCAATAGTAATATATCATAGTTTTGAAAAAATCTACTTTTCTGTACTGTCTTTGGACTGCCTTACTCATCCATTGCTATGAACACTTTTGATCCTCTCAGGAAGAAGAAAGTGGCCATGACAGTGAGAGAGCAGTCAATTCAGAACTGGAAAGCAAAGGAAAAAATGAAAACAAGCATGGGCAACTGTGACCCTTGACATTATTACAGAAACACTTCTATAAGCTTTCCTCACTGGCTAGGATTTGGTAAATGCCTATCTGGAAGAACTGAGGAAGCTGATTTATATTGAGCCAGATCACTATTCTATCTGTTCAAAATATTATCTGTCTAGGAGCAGGTATTCGGTTTCAGACATGATTCTTCCCTAATCCTACCTGGACGTCACTGCATTCAGTATTACTCTGTCATTTAAGTACAAAACAGGCTCCCAAAAAAAGACAAGAATGGCCGTGTTCAGGGTGATGTGGTGTCACAAGAGATATACATTGCATAAATGGCCACTTTGCATTAGTTTAAACAACATACTCAAAGAATGACTGTCTTTTCACATTAGTAATATTTATACTATCAAATAAGGAGTTGAGATGCAGCTTTTGAAAACAATGCACATGTTTTATCAAAATGTAAATTATATCAGTAATTAAAGCATCATGCTTAGATGACAGGGATTCTTACATGCATGGTTGTGATTCAGACCAATGTACATAAATGTATCCATTTCACGTTTGTTTATGGACAGGTATAGTGATTCATTTAGCAATGTTAATATGTAGGGATTTTTTCCTATATGCCTTTATGTTTTAGAAGTCCAGTGCCAATGGATACAGTGCGGCATGAGTTAGTTTGAGGAGAGTTCAACTCAGACCTCCACTGCCTTCTGATGACTACAGGACCTTAGATTGCAGGCCTGGAAAGATAAAATACCTGCCTCCTGTTATTCAATCATTTCCGTATCCCTTAGTAAAAGTTTTCCTTGACATTAAGTCTAGTTGTGTCCGACTCTGTGGGTTGGTGCTCATCTCCATTTCTAAGCCGAAGAGCTGGCATTGTCCATAGACACCCCCAAGATCATGTGGCCGGCATGACTGCATGGAGTACCGTTACCTTACCGCAGAAGCGGTACCTATTGAGCTACTCACATTTGAATGTTTTCGAATTGCTAGGATGGCAGCCTAACAGCTGGAGCTCCCCAGATTCAAACCGCCAACTTTTTGGTCAGCAGTTCAGTGGTTTAATCCTCTGTGCCACCAGGGTGCCCTCAGTATCCCTTAGCATATAGGTATCTCTCGCCTATAGATATCTGGATAGTTAGTTATCTTTAGTTATCTTTAGTAGTTTATGTATAGATTTTTCCCCTGACTAGTGAACTTCTATCTGTATTGTGTTGACCAGGGGTCCTCAAACATTTTAAACAGAGGGCCAGGTCACAGTCCCTTAAACTGTTGGAGGGCCGGATTATGATTTCAAAAAAAAACAAAAACAAAACCATGAATGAATTCCTATGCACACTGCATATATCTTATTTGTAGTGCAAAAAAACCACTTAAAAACAATACAATAATTAAAATGAACAACAATTTTAACAAATATAAACTTATTAGTATTTCAATGGGAAGTGTGGGCCTGCCTTTGGCTGATGAGATAGAATTGTTGTTGTGTGCTTTCAAGTTGTTTCAGACTTAGGTTGACCCTGAGCGAGGGCCGGGTATATGACCTTGGAGGGCCGTATCCGGGCCTTAGTTTGAGGACCCCTGGTGTTGATTTTTTATCTAAAAAGGTGGGCAGCTAGACTTACTAGCCCATGTAGGCAATAGTTGTCTTTTGTATTGTTCTTAGCTCATTTTAATGCATTTGTATACTTGCTTATTTTAATCCCAGATATCATTTAGGTTAATACAGTAATTGTCTTTGAACTATTTCATACGTGGCCTTGAGCCAAACCTTCATTTCGTCAGATAATACTGTGCTGTTCCCTTGGCAGTCCTGCCCTGTCCTGCCCTAGCTAGTTTTACAATAAGCTAACTGATCTGGTTTGTACGCCAACATTCTCTGACCTTCAAACAAGTCACCTGGTTTTTGTTCAGTCTTATCTTGAGAGACAGGAACTACTTTCCCTGAGAAAAAATTATAGGTCTTACAGGGTGTCGCAACCACCCCGAGCTGTGATCTGACAGCAGCTCGAAGTTCAGAAAAATCGCCAATACAATCTTAGTGTTCCAAGTTCTATATCAAATTCTTTTTGCATGGATATGTGTAATGGAAATCCAGGATATAGCACCCCACATATAAGGAACGAATCAGTTGAAATATGACTTATAAAATCTGCAATCAGAACATAAGAAAAATGTTTTCAGCTTGAAACCTCAGGCTTGTAGTTGAGCCTCTTTGATATGATCCTAGACATTACCAAAAATAGAAGACTAGTAAATTGCCTCATCATTGAGCCTTGCATTGGTCCTTGGACGTGGTATGTATTTACACAACAGTATAAATAGAACCCATCTTAACGCTTTCCTTCAAGCTCGATGCAGATCTCTATTAGTGTAGATGAGATAACCAACAGCAGCTCAGCTTTTTCTTGGCAAACACTGAAGGAAACAAGCTCATCCTAATTTGTATCCAATATGGAGCCAGGATAACAATTCCTCAGGCGGAAGTGGCCATAAACTTGTCACGATGTTATTCTTGGCTGGGTAAGTGGTTCCAGTTTATGCCCAAATGGAGTAGATTCTGATGGATCCTGTTATCTTCTTTGAGCTGGAGTCCCCGCTCTGAAAAGCTGCACTTACCTCAAGAGTCAGAGCATTACAGTATGAGCAGTAACATGTAGAAGACAAGGCTTTACTGCAGGAAGGCTGAACCTTACCTTATGCACACTCTTAGGATTTTCCAACCAAGCATAATACATTTCCTCCACATAGTTTGAATTAGTCCCACTCAAAAATGGCTCAGCAGCAACAGGTGCACTGTAACACCTGATTTGCTGAAACGTCCTCGGTACTGCTGGCCTGTTTTGAGATATTGTCTTAACAGTCTGTGAGGCCGTTAATGGCCTCAATTTAGTAGCGCAAGTCCTTAAGTGAAACATTTTGTTCTGCAGCAACAGCAAGGTTCCTGTGGAGAGAAGAATAAAAATTATTTAGCTATTGCACTAGTAACGTAACAAAGCAATTCAAAACTGTTGATTGAAAGAAAAGTAGCCACGTTGGCTTTGTAGGCTGCCCAGAAAGCTCTGTTGAATGATGGAATATAACTACAGAAAGACAATGCTTATTTTAATTAAAAAGACAAGTTATGATTTTAATGAACAAGTCTTTGATAGACTGTAATGAGATACTTTAGCTGCATGATAAGATTCAAGTAACTGAGGACTGGCCATCTGAAAGAAACTAGGCCTGGGTAACAACGGAAAAATTTGTTTCTAAAATCGATTCGTTTTTTGGGGGTTTTTGCGTTTCGATATTTAAAATAATTACAAAATTTTCCTTTTAAAAAGTTCGATATTTACGAAATTTCGTAAATGGTAAAAAAAATAATGAATCGATTTCCGAAACAATAACGAATCGATTCGTTAATGGCGGACGCGACCGCGAAATAAACTAAAAAACCTCCAAAAACTTCTGAAGCTTCCCTCTCCCTCTGTTGTTGACTGTTGGTGTGATATTATAATTTTTTTTCACTAATTAAACAAAAACAACCATAAAACTTGCCCCAGACATGCGGAAATAATAACGAAACGACCTCAAAACAATAACGAAACGAATACAATAACGAAATACGAAGCATTTACAAAACTATTTAAAAATTCGTTTTTTAAAAAAATTGCTCCAGAATGGTTTGTTATCGTTTTGTAATTAAAAAAATTAACGAATTATTAACGAATTACGAATTAACGGAACGAAACCGCCCAGCCCTAAAAGAAACCATTAGAAGTAACGTATGATGATGAATGGAAATAAAGAAATCTCACTTCTGAAATGGACTTACTAGAAGTGATGCAGTGGGTTAAACTGCTGAACTGCTGAACTTGCTGACCAAAAGGTCAGTTGTTTGAATCTGGGGAGGGGGTTGAGCTCCTGCTGTTAGGCCCAGCTTCTGCCAAACTAGCAGTTCGAAAACATGCAAATGTGAATAGATCAATAGGTACCGCTCCTGTTGTAAGAACAATGCTGGCTCTTCGGTGTAGAAATGGAGATGAGCACCACCCCCAGAGTCAGACACAACTAGACTTAATGTCAGGTAAAACCTTTACCTTAACTAAGGGCTGGTCATTTGAAAGAGACTATTAGAGGTTACAGGTATGATGACAAACGGAAATTAAGAAATTTCACTTCTGAAATAATTTCTGACAGGTAAATCCTTTAGCTAACTGCTATTCTGAAAAAAAAGTAACACAGCAATGATGGATCAGATGAAGATTTCATCTAGTTTACCCTGCAACACTACACTACCAAATGCTTCCTGGAAAAATAACACCATCCTTATACTGGATCAGATATGCTGACCTAGCTAATATGTGCCACCGCTCAGTTATGTAAAATCCCAATACAAGAATACATCCGTGTAGGTGGTGACAGCAGCACAATAGTGGCAATAATAAGGTCATGGGAGCAGCTTTTATGACCACAAACCTAGGGACTGGCAAATACTTGCTTATTTACTTGTTCCTTGATGTTTTAAAAAAAGAAGTCCTAATCTTCTGACAGGAACCCATACTTAGTCAGGAATGCTCAAGATTAGTTTGGCTACAGAAAAAAGCATTTCAGAGCTCTTTTTTTTCATTAGCCCTTAGATATGACATTCCCCATCCTGCTCTCTTTCACTGATAATATGTAATACAGGCAAGTGCATCACCTGTCCCCAATTCACCTCCCTTTCTACATATGACACCATTCCTATTTCAAAGTTCATTGTAAGCTTTATGGAAACACAGATCTCTTTTCTTGCTGTTTAGGATATCGGTTTCTAGCAAAAGTTGAATGAAATCCCATTATGACAGTTAGTTAGGGTTTGGGTTTGGCTATCACGCTAAATATATATTTAGATTATTAATTGGCAAATCAAAGTGCATTGGCAAATGGTTTGCTAATGAAATTAAAATGACCTTCCCCTTAAGAAAAGTAAGCATCATTTCAATTTTTTCCTTTCACTTCACTTATCTCTTCAAGTGATCTGCAAGGTAATCATTCTCTGAACACTGAGTTGCCTTAGATGTAGCACAGATTTCTCAATGCACCCTGTTGAAGAATGGAGAAGTATGAAGAGGGAATGAGTATGAAGAGTTCAAATCGGTATGCAGGCATAAAGCCACTGGAGAACCTTGGATCAGTTACTTAAAATGATTTTCAAACTTCACTAAATGTTTTTATTAATGGCTTCAATTTAAAGAGTTGTTGCTCACCCACTGGATGGCCCTGGATAAGTCACATTCTCTTGGCCCAGAGGAAGCCAAAAACCAACATGGAACAATTCTTTCCAAGGAAAAACTGTGAAAGGTTTGTGTTATGCTCGCTGTAAATGGGAAATGACTTTAGGGCAGTTTTGAGGGCAATGGCTACACTCATCTTCAAACATTTATTTATTTAATATATTTATTAGGAGCATTTCTGTCCTGTCCTTCTCGCCTCCGAAGAGGGACTCAGTACTGCTACCAACAGGCATCATTCAGTGCCAAACAACAAAAGAAGCACAATATACAATTAACCTACATTAAAAACAATTATAGATACATTAAAACAGTTCGCCATTTCACGTCATCTTCCAAATCAAACATATTAAAACAATATACAGTAATGAGGAAAGGCGTCTGTGGTGTCCAAGCAGTAGAATGGTTTTTAATTAGATATATCTGGTACCAAACTTGGTACCATTCTGGACATTCCACATATATATAAACCCCACTTGCCTAGTTTCCAACAGACCTCACAACCTCTGAGGATGCCTGCCACAGATGTGGGTGAAACATCGGGAGAGAATGCTTCTGGAACATGTCTATACAGCCGGGAAAACTCACAGCAACCCAGATTTTAAAACTGTTTCATTTTTTAAAATCTGTGATCTGTTTTGTATCAATTTAATCCGTTTAATCTCTATTTTGTGTATTTTAATAGACATTTTATAGAAATACGTTTTAATATGTAACTTTTGTAGAAATATGTTTTAATATATGTTATCTGTAGCGTTCCTGCAATGTTTATGTGTTTTAATTTTTCTGTAACCTACTTTGAGCCATGAAGTGAAGTAGGTAAGAAGTCATTTTGTTGTTGTTGTTGTTGTTATTATTATTATTGTCCACCTGTCTTCCCTCTCTGAGACACTCCAGAGCATAAACAGTAAAAGTTAAACTATACTTAGGGCTCTTACACAGTCATATAACCCAGAATATCAAGGCAGAAAATCCCACAATATCTGCTTTAAACTGGGTTTATTTGAGTCCACAATGTCATATATTCCAGTTCAAAGGAGATAATGTGGGATTTTATTCAGCTGTGTGATATGGGCCTCAGGCCATGTGTATTAAGGTGTACAGTGGGCTCTCAGTTAACCAAAACTTCAATTGTTTCTGAGGAAATAACATCTTATATTAAAAAGGGCTGTTTTTATAATACAGCGAAACAGTGTTATGTTAAGTTATAGTAATTTTTAAAAGCAAAGGAAGGCCAGTGTATCTCAACGTTAATATCAGGTTGATACAGGATTAATGGCATGGTATAATATGGAGTGTATAGTATTGTTTAGTCCAGTGTTTCTCAATCTAGGGATCAAGACCCCTGGCAGCCCCCGCGAGAGGTGTCAAAGGGGTCAACGATAATAAGAAAACATGGTATTTTCTATGGTCATGGGGGTTCTGTGTGGGAAATTTGGCCCAATTCCATTGTTGGTGGGGTTCAGAATGTACTTTGATTGTAGGTGAACTGTAAATCCCAGCAACTACAACTCCCAAATGTCAAGGTCTATTTCCCCCAAACTCCACTGGTGTCCATACTTGGGCATATTGAGCATTTGTGCCAAGTTTGGTCCAGATCCATCATAGCTTGAGTCCACAGTGCTCTCTGGATGTAGGTGAACTGCAACTCCCAAACTCAAGCTCAATGCCCACCAAGCCCTTCCAGTATTTTCTGTTAGTCATGGCAGTTCTGTGTGCCAAGTTTGGTTTGATTCCATGGTTAATGGAGTCCAGAATGTTCTTTGATTGTAGATGGACTATAAATCCCAACAATTACAAAATGACCAAATTAACCTCCTACCCCACTAGTATTCAAATTTGGGCGTATTGGATATTTGTGTCAAATTTGGCCAAGTGAATGAAAATATATCCTGCATATCCGATATTTGCACTGCGATTCATAACAGTAGCAACATTACAGTTATGAAAGTACAGTTCCAGTTATGAAAGTAGCAATAAATATCATTTTATAGTTGAAGGTCACCATAACATGAGGAAGGGGTTGCAGAATTAGGAAAGGTATTGTTTTTATGTTAACTGATTTTAATGTTTTTTATTTGTTGTTATTGATTGTTTTTATTGTGTCTGTTTTATTGTAATCCTGGGCTTGTCCCCTGTAAGCCGCCCCAAAGTCCCTTCAGGGAGATGGAGGCGGGGTATAAAAATAAAGTTATTATAAGGTTGAAAAACACTGGGTTAGTCCTATTTTTAACGGTAATTCTCAGCTACATTTATCCAGCACCTATCAGTTACCTCAGGCCTGGGTCAACTTTTGCCCTCCCTCCAGGTGGGCCAAAATCCACCATTCCTAACAGCCTCAGTCCCTTTCCTTTCCCCCTCAGCTTCAGACTCCTTCCTTCCTTCCTTCCCCCCACCCCCTCAGCTGCTTATGGTCCTGTGGCTGTTAGGAATGATGGGAGTTGAAGTCCAAAACACCTGGAGGGAGAGCCCAAGTTCATTTGTATATGAAACATAAATCGGTGTTATCTTCACTATATGTTGTGCCCCGCCTCGAGCTGTGAGGAGAGAGGGAAGAACAAATGAAATGGAATATTACTGGAAAGAACTCCAATAATAAGCCGGAGGGGATGGAGATCTAGTAGGCCAGAGCCCTGGAGTCGGGTTCTTGCGAGACCCACACGGCCCACAGGGGCACACAAGAGCCCGAGCAGGGGGCTCCGGCCTAGCCAGACCCGCCTCTCACCTCCCTACGGAAGCCGGCGCGGCCCAAACCCGCCCGCGAAGGACACTTGTCCGGCCCCCCTGAGGGCGACTTCCCTTTCGCGGCCCTTCCCTTCCCTCGCGCCTCAGCCTGGCCCCAAACCGCCTCAGGCCGCGCTACCTGCCGCCGGCGCCTCGACCGACCTTCCTTCCTGCCTCCTTTCCCCTCAGGAGGATTCCGAACTGGGCTTGACAGCGCCAACCGCCGGCTCCGCCTCTCTCGCTTCCGGGCGCCTACGTGCTTACGTCATCAAGCACGCCAGGAAACCCTAGACTAGACCTTTTTGTAAAACAATAGAGTGAACTCCACGTTTAGATTTAGAGCAGCCACCGGCCAAGTTGGGCTCTACCTCCAGGAAACCCTAGACTAGAGCTTTTGAAAAATTTAGAGTGAACTCCACGTTTAGATTTAGAGCAACCACGGGTCAACTTGGGTCCTCTTTCCAAGAAACCCTAGACTAGAGCTTTTTTTAAAAATAGAGTGAACTCCACGTTTTGCTGTTAGGGGATTTAGAGAAACCAACTCTAAAGTTTTGGACTTCAACTCCCACAATTCCTAACAGCCTCAGACCACTTCCTTTCCCCCCTCAGTCTCTTAATCTTAGGGGAGTTGGACAAGAGTCCCCACCATCCCCAAACAGGTTCCTCTACGGCTCTACAGGGCCCTAATGCCGGTCCTTTTGCCGCCGCCCAGTGGAGACATCAGGAATTGCTGTTCTGCTCCTTCCTTGAAACCGCAGAGGCGCTTTTCACCCAGGACTCCGCGACTCCAATGTACAATCCTTTGCTGCCATCAAGTGGCCAGATTGGGAAATGGCAGCCCTTTATTATATTTTCCGCAAAGCCACTCCTTCATTGAAACCATATATATATATATATAAGGAGGGAGGAATTTATTTATTTACAGTATATATATACCGCCTTTCTCACCCCTGGGGGGACTCAAAGCGGTTAATAAACAATCAATCAATCAATCAATCAATCAATCAATCAATCAACAATAAACAAACCAACAAACAATCAGGGCCAGCTAGGTAAAGGTAAAGGTTTTCCCCTGACGTTATGTCTAGTCGTGTCTGACTCTGCGGGTTGGTGCTTATATACATTTCTAAGCCAAACTGTTGTTAGACGATCCCTCAATGTCTGAGTAGGATTGTCTTCCAAGATTGGTGGATGCATAGGTGACTGTGGAGCCCTATTCTTGATCTGCATGTTCTCCTGCAGTGAGGGCATTGGTTTCTAGGTGGTAGGCAGTCAGTCCCGGTCAGGGTTGGCTTGATGCACCTTCCTCTTGGCACGTTTTTCTCTTTCGCCCTCCATTCATGCCTCTTCAAATTCTCCAGCACTGCTGGTAACAGCTGACCTCCAGCTGGAGTTCTCAAGGGCCAGGGCTTCCCAGTTCTCAGTGTCTATGCCAGAGTTTTTAAGGCTGGCTTTGAGTCCATCTTTCAATCTCTTTTCCTGTCCACCAACATTCTGTTTTCCATTCTTGAGTTCAGAGTAGAGCAACTGCTTTGGGAGACGGTGGTCGGGCATCCAGACAACGTGGCCGGTACAGCGGAGTTGATGGCGGAGGACCATCGCTTCAGTGCTGGTGGTCTTTACTTCTTCCAGCACGCTGACGTTTGTCCACTTGTCTTCCCAAGAGATTTGCAGGATTTTCCGGAGGCAGCGCTTACATTTCTAAGCCAAAGAGTAGCAATAAAAACAATGTTATGATTGGGGGTCACCACAACATGAGGCACTGTATTAAGGGGTTGTGGCATTAGGAAGATTGAGAACCACTGCCATAGCTGGCTAATTTTCTAGGTATTTGCAACATCTGCAAGAAAAATCTGTCTTTTTTAAGACTTGGAGACATCCCCAGTGTGCCAATGTCTTTAAATATTTAGTGTCACATATCATTAGAGTAAGGCATTATATAATTAGCCCTTGCAAAGAGAGCACCATCTAGCGAGCGCATCTAACACTAAAGAAATAATTCAAAAGCTAAAAGACTGTATAGGGAATTTAAGTCTGATACCCACTGAAGTGTGGCTTGATCCTTCTCAACCCAATGGCCCTCCATGCAAAATTGTACACACAAGACAAAATTATATATACATTATATATTGGTTTTACTTGTTTCATGAGAGGGTAGAGTGGGGAGATGAGGGCAATAACCAGGGTTTTTTTGGGGTGGGGGAAATGGGTTTCCTATGTCTGTATTAAAAACAAGTGCAAAGTCAAATCTCGTAGTGAGTTAAGGTTTGTTCAAAGGTGCTGCCTTCCAGACTTTTGAGGCTTGCTTAGAATGTGTTTCTTTGCTTGTATATACACATACTAGCCGTCCCCTGCCATGTGTTGCTGTGGCCCAGTCTAATGACCTTGGTGAAGGGAGTTGGACTGGATAGCCTTAAGTATTTTCTATTGGTCATAGGGGTTTCTGTGTGGGAAGTTTGCCCCAATTCTATCATTCGTGGGGTTCAGAATGCTCTTTGATTTTAGGTGAACTATAAATCCCAGTAACTACAACTCCCAAATGTCCCCCAAATGTCAAGGTCTATTTCCCCCAGACTCCATCCGTGTTCATATTTGAGCATATGGAATATTCGTGCCAAGTTTGGTTCAGATCCATCATTGTTTGAGTCCACAGTGCTCTCTGGATGTAGGTGAACTACAACTCCCAAACTCAAGGTCAATACCCACCAAACCCTTCTAGTGTTTTCTGTTGGTCATGGGAGTTCTGTGTGCCATGTTTGGTTCAATTCCATCAGTGCTGGAGTTCAGAATGCTCTTTGATTGTAGGTAAACTATAAATCCCAGTAATTACAACTCCCAAATGTCAAGGTCTATCCCCCCCCCCCCAACTCCATCTGTGTTCATATTTGAGCATATGGAATATTCGTGCCAAGTTTGGTCCAGATCCATCATTGTTTGACTCCACAGTGCTCTCTATATGTAGCTGAACTACAACTCCCAAACTCAAGGTCAATGCCTATCAGTACCCATGCCATGGGAGTCCTGTGTGCCACGTTTGGTTCAATTCCATCATTGGTGGTGTTAAGAATGCTCTTTGATTGTAGGTTAATTATAAATCCCTGCAACTACAACTCTCAAATGACAAAATCATTTTTTTTTGAGTGAAAAACATACATTGGGTTGTTAAGTGTATGCTGTCCATATTTGGTGTCAATTCGTCCAATGGTTTTTTGAGTTATGTTAATCCCACAAACGAACATTACATTTTTATTTATATAGAGGTGGTCACGAAATGCATGTACTATATACCTATTTTCCCCCCAGAGGATTATGTACTCCAAACCACCAGCGTAAGAATACCCTGGTTGTTCAGGATTTGGGATATTAGCCAGAAGTTCCTTTTCCTGATGGGCAACATGCTACTAGCAAAATCTCGAAATGCTAATATGCCAGGTAACTACTGCAATTCTTTGGCTCTGTGTTTTCATCTCAACCTTCCACTTGTCCAGAGTCAATACTGGAATGCATGCATACATTCTTGGGCCGGACTGCTGACCAAAAGGTCAGGGTTCACATCAGGGTAGCGGGGCGAGCTCCCAACTGTCAACTCCAGCTTCCCATGCAGGGACATGAGAGAAGCCTCCCACATAATGGTAAAACATCCGAGTGTCTCCTGGGCAACGTCCTTGCAGACAGCCAATTCTATCAAACCAGAAGCAACTTGCAACTTCTCAAGTTGCTCCTGACATGAAAAAAGATTAGATAGACACTCCATGTTGCTAATTCTCGCTTGAGCTTCTGTAAACATTATAAAACAATTGCAGACTTTAGACTTTCCAAACAGATGATGATACCTGGGATTTTGAGAAAAGTTGGTTTGTTTGTTTGTTTTTTAAAAATGGAAGTTTGCAAATGTTTGAAAGACACTACTAGATTAAGACTACCTAACCCTGCCTCATGATTTGAGGATTAAATGCTTGCTCCAGGGAATCTTTTGAGCAGAATACAAAGGCTTGTTGTTGCTCCATGGTTTTCAGTAGTAGATGCCCACATAACTTGGCAGTTCCATTTTTCTTCCTCAAGCCACAGCTATCAGCTTTTTGATTTTTCTGGATATTTGCAAGTCTTAGGTGAATCCAGAAATTTGAAAAACTGCAACTACTTCCAAGGACATACAGAAAATTCCAAGGTAAACGACAGCTGTCCTCTAAAATATGCTTATTATGTTCTGGCAACATTCCCTTCTGCCGGCTTCATTTACCTGAATCAATAAAGGGAATCAGCACTTTTATGGGGGTTTTTTTCCATGTCAGATAGAGTTAGTGAGATTTTTTTTCATGTCAGGAGCGACTTGAGAAACTGCAAATTGCTTCTGGTTTGAGAGAATTGGCCTTCTGCAAGGACATTGCCCAGGAGACGCCTGGATACCTTACCGCTCAGTGGGAGGCTTCTCTCATGTTCCTTCATGAGAAGCTGGAGCTGACCCCCCATAAGAGATAGTAACTTATAGTTTTGCTAAGGACAAAGACATCAGGCTGGACAATAGGGGTCAAGTCTTGGTCAATTTGCAAAGACACTAACAACAACAACAGGGACCCTTCCCATGTCAGATAGTGTGTACATTTAATCAATGCCCTATATTTCACCGCTTTGAGTTGCCTGAGGGCTGAGAAAAGCGGTATATAAATAAAGTAAGTAAATAAATAAATATAGCAGAAGGTAACAAATTTATTACTGAAAACCATGCCACAAAAGTTATTTGACTTTTTCCATCTGAGACACAACTAGGCTAGAGAATTAACGGCTCTCCAATTGGTTTCCCATCTCAGTCAACGACTCACAAACAAAAGGGACTCTCTTTTGAGCTGAAAAACATTTACATATCCTGGCTAAAGATTAGTCAAGAAAAACATTATGCTCTCCATACTTTGTGAGATGGACTCAGGGTGGGGGGGACAGATATGATTTCCTTTCCTTTTTTTCTGAATTTCTTATGATTTCCCCTATATGGTTTCCCTTTTCCCCATATTCCTATGTGTGATATAAAATATGAAATGCCACCTCTGCGTGACCCCAGCACACCAAAATCGCAGGAAAACCTTCTCATTTCCTGGGATAGATAATCCCCTGACTGAAAGTACTTAACAGAAACCTTTTGCAAGGACAATACAATAGTCACACACCTTCAGGCTTCAGAGCATGGCCACCTGAAGGATGTGGCCCATGGTGATATAATCATTCTTCACAAAGGGGACATCCTGCCTTCGGGAGGATTTAGATGTCCCAAC